ACATACATATGTATGTATTTTGATATTAATAGTGAAAATTTGAAAAAATCTGTAAGTTACAATCAAAATATTAATTACAAAAGCCGTAATTCTCTCTCTCTCTCTCTCTTTCTTTCTTCTCTAATATGTGTCTAACATCTTATAAATAGATTTTATTTCGTTTTTTATAGAATATTAAAGACTAATATATTAATGGAAAGGCACTCAAATGAGTTCCCACTCATAAAGGGCTAGTATTTAACGTCAAAATGTGTCTTCCATTGCATTCAATTGTGCGGAAACTGATTTAGTTTTTTATTAATAAGATTTGTGCCAACATTTCCGTCCATTAACTTCTTTATGAACTAAACTCCTTGTCTTTCATCTTAATCTCTATTGGCTTTGATTTGTCAGTCGCTAAACAACAGCCATCTTATTGTTGGGAAGCAATGTTTAGAGAATATTCTCTCTCCTCTTATTATATATATTTCTTGTCATTTACTGTTAGTATTTCTCAATTAATGAAACGACTAATGCCTTTGAGAAGACATTTATAGTCAAATACATGTCATTTGTGCGAAACATTATACAAAGTGTTCAATTCGTCTTCACTTTTAAAACAAACTTTAAATATAATCGCATTTAAAAGATAGAAAAAAACTATTTAATCTAAAAATACATTTTAAAATATAACAAAATTAGTTATTAACGCATAATTAATGCTTTAATTAAATTGTTTGTTTATTGTAACATAAAGTACAGCCATACATCGTGCTAACTTAAAAGTTATGTTTACACTATTTAAACGTTGGGAACCTAAAGGGCCAGATCGGGCGTAAAGGGGACACACATTTGCCGGCGTCGCTGCCCTGCATGTACTGACATCGGAGTCCACCACAACACTGAGCGTTAGCGAAACCCCCGCATAAGCCGTTTCTGTTAATACAGGCCAAACCTCCGGTACCGCCGACGCAAACTCCCTGTGCGTCCGAAATGGTGCCGCCGTTATCGTTCAAACGACACGATCCCTGACCCTCACAACACGCCGTCCCAATAAAGCCGCCGCATGTCTGGGTTAGGTTAGCGCACTGTCGCTGTCCCGCAACTAATTTTATTTGATTAAAATTATTAATTTTTGGTAACAATTTATTATATTGTGTATAAAGTTGTTATTTCTTACCCAGACTTACAAATCCAAGCAAAAAACAAATGATTATTTTATTCATTTAGCAATTGATGTTTTATCGACAACTGTTATTCAAGTAAACAATTATCGGCCAATTTATATAGAGTTGTAATTCAATGATTTTTGGGATATTAATAACTTTTACAAACAGTTGTACGATAAAAGTACTGTAATTGTTCATGTTTACAATACAAAATATTTTAAACTGGAACATGCACAATAATTTTGTCTGCTTTAAAATAATATGTTTATTACTCAACTATTGTATGTTCATAATTAATAGCTTAATTGTAGTTAAAATTAATATACTATTACGTCTAAACCATATTTTCAATATTGATTTATAATATAATATAAAATTAACAAAATTTAATGTTTAATACCTAATATTGTGTTTTTGTTTTCAATTTACCATATTGTTATCTGGATAGTAAATCATTAATAATGATATACTGAACAATGTTTAAATCTATCATTTTAAACCATATTATAAACTATATTATCTGATTATACAGTATATACAGTAGATTATATTGTTTTTGTATAATTTTTATACTGTTTAACTATAAATGTATTAAATGTATTTAAATTAAATGGTCTAAATATAGTATTACTACAAAATAGGCAATACCACACTACTTTAGATGCTAAATATTGACAATATGAATATAGTTTATTGTAGTTTTTATCAAAAATTATATAAAAACTACAATATAAACCAGATTTTAAAAATATAAACAATTTCTAACAAAGAATGCTTAAAAATTAATAAATTCGTTTTTTATATTGTACTTTAGTTTTTAAAAGTTTATTAAACATCAGTTTAATTAAAGTTTTACACATAATGTAATACAAACAAACAATCAGCATGGTTTAAATGATTAATTTAATATAAATTTGTGTCAAACTATTTAAACAAAACAAAGGGAAATCCAAACGGAAAAATGTATCATTAAGTTCACACACATTTGCCGGCGTCGCTACCGGCAAAGTACTGGCACCGGAGTCGACCACAACACTGGGCGCCCGCAAAGCCCCCGCATATGCCGTTCCTGTTAACACAGGCCAGACCTCCAACGCAAACTCCGGTGGCGTCCTTAATGGTGCCGCCGTTATCGTTCAAACGACACCATCCCTGACCCTCACAACATGCCGTCCCTATAAAGCCACCGCACGTCTGGGTTAGGTTAGCGCACTGTCGCTGTCCCGCAACTAATTGAATTTGATTAGAGTTATTAATTTTTGGCAACAATTTATTATATTGTGTATAAAGTTGTTATTTCTTACCCAGAATTACAAATCCAAGCAAAAAGCAAACAATTATTTTATTCATATTTTTAATTGACATTATGTCGACAACTCTTACTCTCGAGTAAACAATTGTCGGCCAATTTATATAGAGTTGCAATTCAATGATTTTTGGCATAATCATTCTTACAAACAGTTGTGAAATAAAAAGTAATTTGTTATGTTTACAATTTGGGACAACAAATATTTCAAGCTGGATTATAATAATAAATACTTACATTAAAATAGAACAATTTTTATTGACCAACTATTGTGTGTTTATAATTAATGGCTTAATTGTAGTTAACATTAATATACCATAACGTCTATTGATTTATAATATTGCTATGTAATACTTTACAAGAATAACATATAGAATTAAAAATATTTAAAATTTAATACTAAATATACTTTATATTATAATACTATAAGAATAATATAATAATATTGTGCCATTTTAACACATTTTTAACAATAAACTGGAAATTATTTAAATCTATAATTTTTAACCAAAAAAGTATTAAGAATAAACATATTAGTTATTTATACTTTATAATTCACGAAAGTAATTTAGATAAAAATGTATTCAACATCAGTTTAATTAAAGTTTTGCATATTATGGTAGTACAACAAACAATAATTAATTGGCATGGTTTGAATAATTAATTCAACCATGGTAATCTGGGAATGTATGACCGGATTCTACCAAAGAATCCAGTGATAGGACAGGAAGTTTGGCCACCTTTAGGGCTATCAATTTGGTCGCCAAGGTTTGGGTTCTTTCCGGGGACACAACGGCCGGCATCGCTGTGCTGTTCGTACTGACAATGCATACCAACACAACACTGCGCGCCCGCAAAACCGCCACAAATGCCTTTGAATGGGACACACGTCACGTCCCCGCCATTGCTTTTACCGTCGGTAAGCGCACCGTTAGAGCAAACGCCGGCCGCGTCTGAAATCATACCATTTTGATTGTCGATTAGACACTCGCCCTCACCCTCACAGCATTGGGTGCCCGCAAAACCACCGCATTGTTGGTTTAAATTAGCACATTGTCGCTGTCCGGACACTAATTGAACATTTTAATGTTTGTAAAATTTTAATTTAATGAGTTATACGATATAAGTTTATTGGTGTTTATTATTTTATAATATAAAATTATAATGTTATCATTTCATACCCAAAATCACGAATTCTAACAAAAAACAAACAATTATTTTATTTGTCATTTTTTTGGTTGAGATTTTATGATCAAAAACTTTTAATCAAATAAATAATTTTTTCACACTTTATCTAACGTGTGTTTTTAGTATTAAAATGTACTTTTGGTCGAAATATATCATTTTTAACATTTGTGCATCCTATTATCATGTTCAGTTTACAACATATAGCCTTCATATTGACATGTTTAATTATGAAATTCAAATTCCATTACACGTATGCAATTATTTATTGCTGTTAATTAATTGTTTTTCAAATTAATATTCTTTACCACAATTCCACTAACAATTCTAGGAGTTAATTCTATGGCAGTGTTGAATCTATGGGTAATATTAAATTTATGGAACTAATGCTAATGGACAATGTTTATGGCAATTAAATTTCTATGATAATGCTAATCTATTGTTTGAACAATACCTGAATTGTGGTTAACATATAGCATTGCATGTGATTATTGTTTATCATTGAGGATTGACCATTAATATAATGTGGTAAAAATCATAATTGTTTATTAATTTTTATAAATAGTGACAACATTAAGAATTCAATACATAAAATGTATTTATGATTATTTAATATAATATTTATAAAGTATAACCAAAATATATTATGTATTGTATTGAATATAAAAGGAGAGCATATTTTCTCAATATTTTACTTTCAATCCATTTATTGAAGTGATGTATCATTTATTTGTAGTTCATTTCTATACCATTCACTTATAAGTATTGCATTTTTTCGTTAGAAAACTCGGTGTTTGTCTGGAAAACGAAAATAAAACGAGAGAATAATTTATTTCAAATGTTTGAAATTCAATCAATCACTTGATATGTCATTCAAATTGTCTTAAAATGAGATATGAAGTGAAGTAAAGGATACAAAATGAAATACTGAATCAAAATAATAGTCAAAAAGTATACGAAAAATCACATGTATTTCTTATTTATATATTTAGAGCATTTCTTTTGTTTTACGAGTTGTTTCGCTTGAATTCTGTGCTGGAAATGCATGTATTGACGTGAAAACAGATGTCAAAAACTGTCATCTCCTTTGCGAAACACAATATATGTGCAACACTTATATCGTATCCCTTTTCAACACTTTTATTCATTTGATTACATAATAAATACCGAAAATAGTTGTGAATTTTAATTAGTTTTTGTGTGTATGTCGTCGTGTACTACAAATAATATATTAATTTTATGTTAGAGAAAGCGGTATGAATGAGATGTAAACATCTATTCTTTAGATCTTATCATTTTCTCCCTATTCCTTAACTCTCTCTCTCTCTCTCTCTCTCTCTCTCTCTACAGATGTCTAGAATAGAGTTGATTAGAGAGTGCCGTGAGTTTTAGTGTTCACTTTTGTGAACACACATAAAATAATTGCCTTAAAAATAGTTTTACAACATTAGAGGAGAGCAACGAAATCGTGTGTAAGAATTAGTAGAGAAAAGAAATGTATAGATATATAAGTGATGCGAATGGAGAGAGCAATTGAATGTTGATTTTGAAACAGATATTTATATATAACTATAAATTGCTTCATCTCTCCAGAAAAGGATGGATTCTTAGAGTGATTGTTGTGTTGTTCAACAATAATGGCCAGAATGTGCTTTTGTATGACCCTTTGAGTGACTGCACCGGCAGACTGACTGCTCATTTAGTTAATTAGTTGTGTTCAAACATTTTTGGGCTAATAAAAGGCAACTCCAATACAGAATCGCGTTTATCTATAATATGAATGCCTTTTGCCTAACAGTGCCTTAAACTGTATTACAAGTAAAGTCTTGTTTAATAATAATAAGAAGACGAATATAGAGTATAGTATAAGACTTTGTGTGTCTATTGAATGAATGGAGTGTTGTGTTTGTGTTTCATTCAATTCAATGTGTTTTTGTGTACGAAAGGGAGAGAAAAGTTTTTCGCCTCCCAAACGAGACGCGTCTTCAGGCGAACCACACATTCAATTGTATTGTCCATAGATTTCGATGCATTTCTCGATTACTCCTCAGAGGATAAGACGATTTGAGTGGCGATGCGTTTCGGCGCTGACTTTAATTGCGGACAATCACCGAATGGGTCCACAAATCAGGAAATTGTGTGCTTTTGCTATGAATGGATGAGTCGCTAAAACTCATGGCATATATAAAACAATTTCTTCGCTCTCCTCTTCTTCTTACAGCTTTTTCTTCTCTTCTTTTTCGTTATACCCTTTTGTCTTCACTTCTTATATATTGGATACAAGTCTTATAAAAGTCTTAAATATGATTTCATTTCCGGCCACAACTTTCATATTACGAAATATTATATTATAGTTATTATTGAAACCATAAGTTATAATAAGAGGCAAAAGAAAGAAAGAGAGTGAAAGAGAAATAGTAAATACGAGTATTATATTTACTCAAATGCATTCATTTAATTAAATACATTTAAATTAAATATATATTTATATTTTGAATATACTTAACAATAGTGTTGACTAAAATGTAATGTTTTTCAAATGCATTCATTTGCATATAAAACAAATCATAGACACAGAAAAATAGGTTTATTTTGTCCTCAAGTCATGCATACCTTTGCATCCAAAGAAAGTAGTGCTCGTCTGAAGAGACGGTATTATATTATTATTTAAATTGGTATTATGTTTGTTAAGGACTCGTATGTAAGAGTTGGTGGAAATAGAAAGCAAATTGAATGCATTAATACACGAAGTATTCATTGTGTAAGACATGAGGACATCGTTTGCAAAACAGAAAATAGCATTAGATATGAAGTGAGAGGACAGGGAAGGGATGACTACGAGGGGAGGAAAGGGAAGGGACGGACGTTCAGACACTTGAATTCAATGCTTATCTAATTTGCCGGCGGATCAGACGTAAGACTTTTATTTTTTGACAAAAAGCTATAGAATAATGATTTGGTCTTCGAGTAGACAAAAAGGTAGTCAAAGTTTTTGATAATGTATTTATGGAAAGCCTATGGAAAATAATTTGTTGTATAAAATGAACATTTATTATTCAAATTTACGTTTCACTCATCTATAATATTGTTTACTACTGTATGTAATACAGAGAAATGTCGAGTAGTTTACATGATATGACAGAATTTGTCATGAAATCAATTCAATGAATTATATAAAAATAAGTTATAATTAGAGTCTCTATTTTTCGGGAATTCCCGATTTTCCCGAATTTTCCCGATTTTGGCACTTTTTGAAAAAGATTTTCTATCAAAATACTAATGAATTTGCTCACAAAATACCAAAACTTGCTGCAAAATTAAGATTATTAATTATTTTTGCATCAATAAATGTCATTATTTTGCTTCGTTAGTGCATATAAACCTTTTAAAAATCACTTAAATACATAATTATTATGTGAAAANTTATTTTGCTTCGTTAGTGCATATAAACCTTTTAAAAATCACTTAAATACATAATTATTATGTGAAAATCCAATTAAAACGTAATTCCCGAATTTTCCCGATTTTGGCCATGTATACTCCCGAATTCACGTGTTTTTATTCCCGAAAAATCGAGACTCTAGTTATAATATCATTGCTATGAATAGCGGAAAATATTTATTGTGACAAACCTTTCTTATATAGTTGTAAAATTCAAACCCTATTTCTATTGCAACTTCTTTTAGATAAATATTTATATTCTTAAGAGAAAACATTTTATTCGTATATTTCATGATCAAAGTGACAGTCAAACGCTGTCAACAAAATAATGCAATGTATTAACTGATAGAGTGCTTCGTATTGTATTCACGTTTACATCTCTCTCTCTCTCTCTCTCTCTCTCTCTCTCTCTTTTTTTTCTGAACCATTTTTGTGTCGTGTATTATGACTTCATTTATAATCCTTTATAACTAATACAAACAATAATTCGTATAATATAAGTAATTTATAAAATATATGACACATTAATTCATATTAGACCGAATTGTTTCTCTTCAACTAATAACTTAACAAACGATAAAAGTTGCGGTAATTATCCGTAAATCTATTGATCAATACTAACCATTGGGTCACAGGATTTGCTAATATATTGATGTATTGTTTCATATAATATTCATTGGCTTTAAGGACTAGCAGTAGTGTTGTTGTTGTGGATATGAGTTGTGCGATACTATGCTATATATACGATTACATCTAAATATTGGCCATACATTTGGATGTCTTGAGTGAATGGCATTCGTTGTGGTCATCAATCTTTATTACATAGAGAGAGAGAGAGAGAGAGAGAGAGATGAATGAAGAAAATAAAAAATAAGAATAAAATTGAGTGAAATATTATGTCTGAAAACAGTTTTTTGAGCCAAAATATTATTGGAAAGAGAGATATAAATATAAGTGAAGAATAGTCTTTATGTAAAAACGTCTAGAAAATCAAAATAAATTGATGCATAGGTTTGGCTTCTGGCTGTAGGTTCTAGCAATACCTCTCAATGCCTTTCCTATGCCTTTCCCAATGCTTACTGTAGTCGATATGTTGGTCAATATGAGACACAATGCCATCAATGCCTTCAATGCACGCTATTATTGGATTTGTATTCAAAGACGCGTTCATCCATTTGTGTGATATATCAGCCCAGGTTTGAATCATATTACAGGCCTCACAGACCCCACAACTTAAAGCCCTAAAAAGTCTCACTCACTTTCTCCATCCGCATCTCTCTCTCTCTCTCTCTCTCTCTCTCTCTCTCTCT